CCCATCAGGGAAAGAGTATAGAAGAAAACCATCAACACAAACAGCCCCCAGAAGCCTTTTCACATTTCCCACCTCATATCTACCATAATGGCAAAAACATGTTTGCAAACAACAACGAAAAACTGCCTCAAACATGTACTTCCCAAAACACAGAGAATGAATTCAGCCTGCTCTGTGAATGGCTCTCAATGCACGTAAGAGAAGACTGGTAATAAACTGCCTCAGAAGAATGCCAAGACCTCTGCTATGGAGAGCACCAGCTAAAGGCTGCACAGATTATTTGACTCTGGCTGCATTTATTTTCCTTTCTTACCCTTTCCTCCACTAAGGTCCTGGGTGTTGTACCCCTTGGACTTGTTGATCATTTCATTAAGGGCTGTAAATACCTAATGAGACTTAGGGCAAGGTTTGACAGCTTCAGGAAAACAGCGGCACATACAAAATATGACTGACAATGCCTTAAGGACTGGCACAGCAGTCAAACCAAATGGGGATGCAAGTGAATTTATCTTCCCTTCCACCTTGTGTCCTCTGTTTTGCAGGAGGCAGTTCCCATGCTGACAGGCAGACAGCCCTCTCTACAGAGTAAGACGACAGCAAAACCTGCCTCTGCAGTCAAGGACAGAGAAGAGACTGGAAACATATGTTCTCTGTGTTTGGGATGATTCAGTTCAGGTAGACTACCTGGATCAGAGCCCAGATGGTGTAAACTGCTGAATCTCAGAGTTTACATTACCTGAGACTCTAGTTTAATAAGTATATTTTAACTAAACTTCTGAACTCTACTGATATTCTTTGTAACCCTCCCAAACCTCCAAACAACCTCCAAGGGGAAACTGAGAAAGCAAAACCTGATGTGACTTCTTTAAAGTAATGACGTGAATCACTGTCAGAGTTCAGGCAGGAGCCCACATCTCCTCAGCATCAGTACAATATAACTGATGCAAAGGCAACCCTTGAAGTTTATTGAGCTAAAACAGCAGCTTAATGAGGTCTGAATGGCCCTGTGCATTTCAGTGAATTGCTATCTGAAAGGGTCAGGGTTGATACCTTAAAAGTCAACATTAATTAATTAATCAGTGGACAAAGTGTGCTGGAAAGGGGCAGTAATACTCTTCTGTGGAGTTCAGGATGTTGTAATAGAGACAGAAGGCAGTGAGCTTTGAAGAGCACTTGAGAGAAAAGCACACTGAAGCCACATATGAGGCAAATGAGCTCTTTCAGCAAGAGCTAAACACAAGAAGACAAGGAAGACATTGGAGCCTCAGTGATGCAAGCTCAGCACTGCTAGTAGGTGGGATTCAAATGTCTTGAGGGCATTCAAGCCAAAGGGATTCCTGAGGGCATTTACAACTGTGCCATCTGTCCCTTATAGTTGGAGCTTATTTTGAAGGTGGTTTTCAAAAGAGAATTAATACCATATTTCTCCCTCAGTTTAACCCTACTGGCGATTGACTCCTGGCGTGAATGACAAAACACTCAATACAGTAGATAACACACCAAAAATCCCCACCCAACCCCAAACAAAACACCCTTTCACTTACTCCTGGTACCTTTTTTGTGGTATTATCTTAAGCTGAAGCCATTAAAGAAAGAGTCTCTACTTCTTGGTTTGATTTTTTTACACGGTGTTCATTCAACCCATTCTGTAGCAGATCTATCAAGCCCTGAGAGCAGTAGAGCTGCAAAAGTGACTATAGGGTCAGGAAAGCAGATAGGCCTTGTCAGAGCTCGTCAGTACACCAGTCTCCATCACCTGAGTGGGTTGAGATGGTTCTGCAGAAGGTATGTTCGTGGGCAGTAGGAAAAGCAGGATGTGGAATCACATAGGTAGGTACAATAAGTATACTGGCAGTTTCTTCCCATGTGACATACATGACAGATAAAAATGTCAACCAATGAAGTGACTATGACATCGTCGTAGAGGACATCTGCATGCTATTTGGCTTTGAAAATACATTCTCACTTGTCACATGAATAAAGATTGAAATTCAGAAATATCAAGTAATACAATGGAGCTTAAACAATATGGTACCTGCAATTGTGCAAAAGTAAATACAACAGCCTACTAGAAAAGAAAAATTAATGCGATTTATGAAATACAAAAGGCCAAAGTGTAAGCTCCACAACTCTGCTGGGTGGCGGGCATGCATTCGGGTATGTTTATTGGCTTCGGAGTGGGGGAATGTTGCTCTTTACCGTCTGCACCCAAAGGCTATTTGCTTCCTCACCAGAGGATGGCAGCACAGAGACCCTTTACTTCCATAGTCAGAAAAGCCTGTGGCGGGAAGATAGAGGTACAGCACTGGATAGCACACCAAAGGTAGAAGAAGGATTAATTTGATATTCATAGATGCAGGCCACAGGTGCTAAGAAGAATACTGCTATCAACGGCTTGCTCTAGATGGAGCACATATGTCAAAATAATAGGAAAATAACCTTCATGGAGTGACCTGTTTGCTTGGTCTCTGCTATTTTGTGCAGAGACCTATGACCATTGTTCCCAGTACAAGGCCAAAATCAGTCCACAGCCTTCCTTCACATCCAGAGCAATTCCTCTCAAAAGAGGCGCAATTTTACTGTGTAGCGCTAGGTACTGCAGACATCTGTTCCCAAGCCTGATCTGCCATGGAACAAAAAGCAGATAATGTGACCCAAAGCCACAGTGCCACAGAGAATGATACGCTGTGTGCTAGGGACTAGTCAGCAACCGCTGCCCTTAGACCAGACACTTGGAACCAATGGCATTGAAGACACTGTATTCGTTAATAGTCTGGAAAAGAAATGGGTAACAAGTTAGTTTGCTAATACTATGTAATTCTGTCATTAACAGCCAACTGGGAGAAACACTAGACATCTTGTCAGATGTAAGAGGATTAATTTTATAAACCATGTCTTACAAAACTCACCTTATTAAACTGAACAGGAAGAACTGAAAGCAAGCTGAAGATATGTTATCTTCCAGTTCTTAACATCACCCCTCATAAAAGGAGCTTGTTAGCTCAGATGTGGATTGACCCCACCCCACAGTGCATGCAATGAATCTACATCTTACATATTCCATAACTTTTTTAACAAAGCAGTATTATTTTTGTGTTAATTAAAAAGGAACTCTTCAGATCTGCTAGTAACCAAGGCAAGTTCTCACCACACTACCTTACCACTGTGGCTACGCTTTTCTTTTAAGAGGAAATGTGATAAACACGACCCAATTCCCACTGAAGTCAAGGGAAAGTCTCCTGGTGACTTCAGTGGAGTTGTGTGCAACCCAGTCCTTGGCCTCCCTACTCAGATGGCATATAACAACCAGAGCCCACTGCGGTAGTGTTATTTTTTGGGGGGTTTTTTGGTGGCTTTTTTTAATGGGGAATTCTGTCTACAAATAAATTAATTTGGATCACCAGACATGTGATGTATTATTCCATGTATTATATGCCACAGAGCAGCAAATTTTGGCCATGAATAATAAATTCATTTGAGTGATTACTGAGGTTAAATTGTGAAAGTAAGCTATATGCCCTGTAAAGACACCAGCATAAAAATCAAAATAACCTGATTGGGGAAAGTCTGAGCAAGTCACCCTGGTGACTTCTTCAAGTCCAGATACCTAAGTGTCATGGGTATAACCTGATATTAATGACCCCACTTTTTTTTTTTCCTAGAACTTAAATGTTCTGGCAGCAACAGTGAGTAGTGCTTACTCCCCAAAAGATCATGAGCATCTGAAGCAAATCTTGCTTTACTCTGTAGACACAACTTTCCCATGTCCAATCTCCTAGATATATGTTTCTGATTGGATCACCCCATGGATTTTGTTTGGTAGAAAGAGTGATCTCTAGGGAAATGTTTCATGTCTTCTCTTCCACAAGCAAACCAGCAAAATACACATTTCCATAATGAAAGCTAAGAGTAGAGCCATTGTCCATGAACTGTGTAACTGTCTAAAAGGTTCCAACTCTGACATTTCCCAAGTGCACAACCCGCAATGATAACTGCTAAGTGTTTCTGAACTGTTACACAGCCTGTATTGGAAAAAAGAGGAAGTGGAAGGAGAAGATTCAATGAAGGTAATGAAATGTAGGGAATTGCTGCTTTCTTCAAGCCCTTCCTTCTTCAGGATGTCTAATAAGAAGACATAGTTGGTGAATTCTCACTTTGCACAAACATCTTCTCAACTCCAGAGCAGAAGAATAAGAGATAATTCCCTTACAAGAAATGTCTGAGAGCTTAATTCCAGCCTGGAAAAAGCAAACCAATTCCACCAATTTCAATGGAGTTACAGATGGCCCACTTAATGTACAACAGCGTTGATTTGGCCCTTCTCCCATATGTAGCACTGCTTTGCCTAGAAACCTTTGCTTTCAAAGTAATTAACCATGTGTAAACAGCCTGCAACACTGAACTGCAATTAAATAATTAATAGGAGACAGATGTATATTTTAAAACTTATCTCAGCAGTGGACTTTAACAGCAAGTATTGATCTTTTTCCTGTTTAATATCAGGATCTTACGTCAGTATCACAGACAAGAAACAGAGGATCTGCAGAACAATATCAATTATTGTGCATGTATTTCTCCCTCCCACAATTGCTACAGGCATTAAATTGGAATCGTGTATAAGCTTAGTGAGAGTCTCAGGAAGAACTTGTTCTTCCTTATAAGCCATCTCAGCACTACGGCAGGTGGGCACAGGCTCTCTTGCTAAAAGCAGAGAGAGAGAGAGAGACAGAAGAAAATTGCTTACTGTTTCGAGGCTTCTCCTCATCCATGCCTTCATCTTCATTTTCTGGGTCAATATCTTCTGCTTGAGTTATCCAGTCTAAGTACCCCTTCAAATCCTCCTCTAGCTGTTGTTTTTCCCGTAACTTCTGGAAATCACCCCGAGCCTTAGCCTTCTCTCTTTCTTTGGAAAACTCCCTAGCAAGAGGGAGGGAGGGAGGGAGGGAGGGAGAGGACATGGGCGGAGGGAAGGAAGACATTGAAAAACAATGGGTTAGATTGATTTCCACTAGAAAGTCTCCACATCCTGTGCAGCACACCCAGCTTTCTCTATTCTTTCAAGACAGACACATGAATGGAGTATGCTTGCTAGATACACATGTAAAACAGTTGGAGTGCCCACATTTTTACCAATGCTTAGGAAAAGATTAACACCTTTTTTAGTCCTTTCAATTCTCAACATTTGATTGACAATTCAAATAAAAAACAAATGTAACATTTATGTACAATACCATAAACATTCTAATATTCTTTACCACTTGATATTCTCCAACAGTTATCCATAAATATCTATATGAATAACGGTTAATTTAATGCAATGATGAACTGTTTGACAATAATCTGACATCTGGAGAGTGAGAAGGTGGCTCTAATTTTTAGCCAGGTTTCAATCTGTCTTTAAGATTATACGTGTAATCACAACTAAACTGGGCTAATTGTAAGTGTAATTAACAGTACTCACAATTCTGTACACATATAATTATAGACAATTTCACCCACAGTACTGGACAATATATTTAAAAACTCAGACCTCAATGTTTTACTGAAGACTTTCGGTATTCAGGGCTGTTATCTGACATGAAAAATATTTTTCAAATCTCAAGTTGGGTAAACAAACATGATAAACTATGGGTAGACAAAACTAATACATTCTGCCAGAAAGTGAACTAGGGTAGACATTTGATAGTTTTATGAAAGACCACTATTGGGAAAACCAGGCTTAAAAGAAAGGGCATAGGAACAAGAATTTCATGTTGCTTATTTACGAACCTGGGTGCTTGCTTTGCCTTCTTTTTGGCTGTGGTGCTGTTTCTTCCTCTCTTTCAGAGACACTTATACTGCATTATGGTTTTTTTCTAGAAATGCTGACCTACCGCTATTTAGAGACTCTCCTGTGGTTCTAAACCAGGTTTTAACACTTGTGTTTTAAAAAGTAAGCTTAACGATTATGAAAAGTGCTGGACCAAGAGTACTTAAGCATTAAGTCTTGTATCTGCTGAAGCAGATCACTACATAAGACACACAGAGCAGATAATATGGCCCACTGTTTCTACAAATGAGAGGTAAAGTCATTATCTCCAATGTATTATCCATTACCATTGCTGATGACTGTCAGCAATGAGTGGATTTAAAAAAAACCAAAACAAACCAAAACCAAGTCCACCTATTATTTGTCCTAGGTTACTCCTGAAAAAAACAAATAGGAAACCTACCATTAACTTTGGTGGGATAATATTAGGATTGTGAAAATCCTACCCAAAATGTTAATGAGTGTCACGTGAAGTGTCCTCAAGCAACTGAGATGGAGGTGAGTTTGTAACAGTGACGGTGAAGTACTTCCCTCCTATCTGGTCCAAAACCCACTGAAAGATTTCCATTCACATGCTTTGGATCACGCTTTCAATATTATGAGCTGTGCATGAAACCAGCACTGCAGTAGAATGAAAGTAGGCCAATGTCTTCATTTCAAGCCAAAGTATGTGACAAAGTATGTCTGTGTGATCTTCACCCCTGTCACATTGCTGAGGGTTCTGCCCATCCCATGGGACTGTGATAATAAAGGTGGAAATGAGGAAGAGAAACATTGGCTTCTCAGGCCTGAAGGTAGATCACAGTCAACCATGGGACCAAACTTAGCCACAAGGCAGAAACAGCTATTGCAAGCATGGCAAGAATGAAAAATCAAATTTTCTCATGCTGGGAGTGATATTTTGCTATTTAAAATATAAACACAAACAAACAAACCAACTTCCAACAATAATAATAAAAACTGTACAAAGAATTTTAGAAAAATTCAATCAATAATAGTTTTTCCGCTTCAGTAACATCTTTCCTCTGGGTCTGACATAGTGCCTTATCCAAATTAATGAATTAACACTCAAAAACCCCCCCCCAACAAACCACTGAATGAAGCTATGTATTATTAAGCCTGTTTGATAAATCAAATACCAAATATTTCAATTGTTGGCTCCTAAACTGGTATTTTAGAATCTAGAACAAATGGGTCCAATTTTGAAAGGCACTGAGCCTTCAACTCCAAGTGAGAACTATTTATATTTGCATGGATATAACTTGCAAGCAGCTGTTTCAGAAATCAAAGCGGAAAACATCATGTAACAGGCCAGCTTACAGAAAGTGAAATTCCTACTGTGCAGCGAGGTGGACCATTTATGTTAGATGCATCTACACTGCACACCTACTTGGGTCTTTTCAGTCCCCACTTACTGTCTCTCTCTGAAATGAGACTCGGGCTGGGGGGAAGAGCTAACTAAACCAATGTGCAATTTTAGCATGATGTCTTTACACTGTCTGCATAGGAGCGAATTTGTTACCTAGCTTTTTAATGGTGCAACTGAAAATACTGTGATTGCCTAGTCTGAACAATCTGCATTTGCATGTGTCCTTCCTTTGTACAATGTATGATACTCCACATCTCAGATGACTCTCCAAAGATGACAACTTATTTAAATTATCTTAATTTCTATGCTCTACTAACATTAAATGATTGAGAACAGGTGGCTCAGAAAATTGCTAATGCAATTCAAACCACCTCCCATGTGGAATGCCAGCCAGTACTTAGGCAAATGTAGTTCACGATCAAGAATTACTATCAACAGTTATTTGCCATCCCATGTGAAATGAGTTGGTGACCTCAAGTCCAGTTCCTAGAGCAGGCAGGTGTGCATATTACCTCTGCCACCATCACAGTTGGCAATAAATGGTCATTGTTCGCAGTTTCAGCAGGGAGGCCAAGGACCAAATAAGCTGTCTGATGGAAGTGCCATCTTGAATCTGGAGGTGGCCTTCTCAAAAAAGATTGGACTGTCATGTCAGGATAAGGTTGACAAAGGCCTGCAGAACTACCAAGCAATCTGTCTCTTTTCAGTGAACAAGAGAATATGAGTTTAAGAGTCAGTGAATCTGGTTCTTTTTACCAGAATTCAATTTGCTTCACTTTAATCTCCTGGAAAATTATAAGATACGTCTGCCAATGGGCATACCAAACACCAGAGTATTCTGGAGAGGTGTTTTCTCTATGTGAGGTTAGAGTGGGTCAACATCATAAATATAAACACCCAGCTCTGTATCCTGTGCTGTTCCAGGAGAAAATTTCCTTTGCCCTTCCCTGACGATGGAACACAGGTAATTCTTGTCTATATCTGATCTTAATATGATTTGTCACATTTAGAGGAGTGATGGAAAGTGAGCAAAACAGCAGAATTCTAGCAGTTCAAAACTTTTGCTTACTACTAAAAGTGCAGCACAAGACTTCAAATCTCATCCACCCTGAGAAGTACACCAAGGAATTGGAAGGGTTGGAAGAAGGCACTGAAGAGTAGGAAAAACCCCTGAAAGGTCATAAAAACTGCTCCAGGAGAAGCTACAACCATAGCCAGCCTCCCTTCACTCTGACCTCTCCCTTGGCAGTAAGAGCATCAGAAGCAGCCAACTGGGTTTCCCAGGACCCTCTCAAAGCAGAAGAAATGGCTGTTCTCCCGCCCTCCATTTGCCAGGCAACAGATTGTTTGGTCTGTGTCCCGGGATTTGGGTCATGGCTAGGCAAAATATAAAAAAAAAAGTGAATCTATATGCTTAGGTGTGCAGGTCCAAAAGTGGAACCTACACTGCCATTTTTTTTTTCCTTCACTAATTGACTAAAACAGATAACACAAATGCTAACATCTCTGATCTCAAGGCACCTCTAAGAGGGGCTGCACTGCTCACAGCAGTGATGTGGAATCCTCTTGCCTGGACTTGAGGATGTCTACTGTGTGATCTGCTGACTGGGTATTTCCTTTGAAATACATAAATTTTATATTCTGCTCAGTCAAGACAGGAGGAGGATTATAGCGCTACACATGAATACTCTGTCATACTATTTAGCTTAGCATGTGACTAGTAAATTCACCAGAAGAACCATGAATGGATGACATACCTGAGGAAAAACAAATTACAAATGAGCTCTTTAGGCAGAGCAGAACTCAGCATTTGATTTTGCAGGTGCAATCAAGGTGTCTTTGTGAGTACAATTAATTACACTTACGTATTCAGAAGTGATTAAAAAACCTAAGCTAATCTGTCATTGATGAAGTCTACCTACACGATATGCTTAGTGAAGTTCCTGAAATAGATAAAAGGGAAGAAATCAGAGATGCCCAGAACGGATATACAAAGATGCCCGGGAATGCTGCCTTGTATCTACATAGAACAGACAGGTGGATCATCTACATAGATCAGACTAATAGCAATAGCAAGTTTCTAAAAAAAAAAAAAAAAAAAAAAAAAAAAAAAAAAAAAAAAGAAAGACGCTGAATCTGCAAGACACTTTGCAACTCAGCAGAATTTAGAACTGCTTTAGAAAGTTAATTGTTTAAGAACTGCTTATTTAGCCCAAAGAAAATTTGGAACATTTCTCCCGTAATTTCTGTGTTTTTTCATGGATGCAAATTCTTAAGTTTCTTTTCACTTTTCTCCAGTTGGAAAAATTTTTCAGAAACAGTGCAGCTGTCATAACACTGTGAACACAGCCAGATAGAGTGACTCACAGCTTAAACAAGGTGAATTTCATCTTTGATTTCAGTTCTCTCTACAGACTGCTTCCATCTCTTACCACTAACTGTGGTGGTCTAGCTGCAGTGTGTCAGGAGGTGGAAGATCTAGGCCCCAAAACACTTTCTTGAGTTGAAAAATGAAAGAGAGAGGAAATTCAATTTTTAATTATGTACAGACACAAATCCAAGTGTAGGTAAATTGAATGAGCAGTGCTTCAACAGTATGCACTCCTCAGGGCTGGGCTCACAGGCACTGTTTATCCGATCAGATACTATATAATCTTTAACCACTGTCCTATATGGTCCATGAGTGCACCTCTGATACAACAGCTCACTTTCCCTCTGTCAGCTGGTCATCATCCTCCACTACTTCTGACATCCTTACCTGCTGATCAGAGTATCCACCTGGAGAAATGAGGAGCCTAAGTTTTAAAACTGTTCCCAGAATATCACTCTCCAGATATCCAAACACAGACTATTGCCTGACACTTCATTACTGGGGATTTTTTTCCCTGCTGCCATTACTCCTTGAAAACCCTTCTCTTTGCAACAGCTGTCTTAGCAGCATGTCTCCTTCAATGGAGTAATGAAGATAGTAATAATACCTCCTGTAGATCAGCTATTACCTGTCTCTTTGCAGGATGGCCAATGGTGGATCTTCTTCTCTGGTCCTACTACTGCCCTTCCTATGTTGTTGGCCCAAGTACTGAGGACATAATTTCTGTGAGGCATCAAGTCCTCTCTCTTGCTCAGAGATAAGTTTCCCTCTTTTATGATCAAAGGACAGGGGACTTCAAGGCTGCCCTGACTCAGGCAACAGGTACAGGCTCTGACCAAATTCATTTAGAGCTCATTAAAGGAGGCAGGGTGTTAGAAACAAAGAAAAAGAGGATGCATAAAAGTCCTCATACCATATTTATCCATGTACATAGAATGGCTGTAGGCACACAGTCATGCCAAATATGGAATTAGAAGCCTAATTCTAAGAGATCTTTTTTTTAAAAAATCTTGTGAGGAATGTTTGCTGGCTTGATTCCTCTAATTATGTGGCTCCCCAGGGGCAGTAAAGTTTTTAACTACTGGGGACAATATCAATTGTTTTTAATCAAAGCTACTACAATGATACTTTGCAGTGAGGGTTATACTGCAGAAATGAAATAAAGCTAGATGTCTTAGGAATGCTTGAATGCTAGAAGGATTTCTTCTGCTTCTCTGTTCCTTCTTAGAAAAGGTCAGAGGGAAATGATCTTTTCTCCCTGCATCATGCTAGGCTTATAATCCGCACAATAGAGAAGATGTGCTTATTGAAGAAGAAACGTGCCCAAGACACTCTCAAGGGAAAATAGTCTCCTGTCAGGCTGTGCTTTAGAGATACTAAGCAATGTGAAAATTTCTCATGTGAGAAGACATAATTTGGCAGGAATCTCATCCCACAAATGTGAAGGGATTTGTTGCATGCTCTCATTCCTTCTTCAGTCCCACTGACTCTTCCAGAAATTTTACTATAATCCCATTCTTCTATGGTAAATGGTATGCTTTGCCCACAGAGGAGCATAGCATTGTCCTCTTCCCACAGAGTACAGGTAGAGGAATATGTTACAGGCAAAGAGTTGTCTTGCATTCCTTTGGGTCAAAAGTCTCCTTCCATGGCATTAGGAATGCCATATTTTGCTATTGGCACAGCAAATCTTGGTCTTCTATTAAGGTTCCTGAGATAAACCCACCACTGCCCGTTGTTTTGGTAACCAGAGAGTAGGAATAGAAATACAAATTTTAAAAAATAAACAATAATAAAACATTTTCCTGGTACTGCTTACCCGCTAAGTACACCGAGAACCAAGTTAAGTACAAAAAATGACCCTATGATGATTAGTGTAACAAAATAGATCCAGGGCCAGTCCCTTCCTATGGCATCATTGACCTGGAAGAGTGGAATGATAATTAGTGAGACAAGCTCAGATTCTGAGCACTGCAAGGCTCCAGCCAAAGAGATCCCAAGTCACCAGCAGTAAGATTTTCAATAGCCAGTTTTCTGGAAATTTATGACAGGTTGACATTAGCGATTTTGAATGCCCTGAGGTTGAATTTCTTTGTCAGAGAATAACACCTCTTTTGTTACCTGTATTGTTATTTGCAATGTTCGAACATTTTGTCAAAATATTTGAGAGCTGATGTGAAGCTTCCTTGGATTCAGATTTTTAATCCCTCTGAAAGAATCCTGGTGACAGGGAAGAACCCTTATTATGGAGTCTTGCCCTGTAGCATTGGAAAAAGGACACCAAAACTGTCAGCTTACCCGCTCAACACACCAAGAACCAGATTTAGAACGAAAAAGGATCCAAAGATGACCAGACTGACAAAATACACCCATGGTAACTCATAGCCCATAGCGTCCTGCATCTGGAAAGACGAAGGAAAGTTAGAAGACAGAGAGGGAAAGCAGAAATGATTAGGCAAAGGAACAGATGGAAAGGTTTGTAAACAGAGCCTGTGGTTGGTTTACACATAATCATAGCAAGTGTTTCTGTATGTTCTTTCTGATGTGACCGCTCTCTTGATTGCTTTTTTCCCCTAGCTGTTTACAGGCAATGATTAATATAGGCTGAGATATAACCACATGCCATACTGGCACTTCTTTGGATGCTCAAAGTTGTGGACCGTCACTTTCTGGAGTTTATTTACAGCACCACAAGGGTCCATCCGATGACTTCTAAACTTCTAACCACTGCACATACTTATGACTCTTTACTGCCAGTGAAAATATTGGTAGTTTTCACTAAGCATTGCCAGAGTGTGTTGCCAGATCAGTTTACTTGCCATGTGTAGCACAGGTACGTGTACCTCAGAGAGAAGCATGTGGTAACTGTGGGCAAATACTGAATTCCAGGCCCCCTCCCTGGAAGTGTTCAAGGCCAGGTTGGATGAGGCTTTGGGCAACCTGGTCTAGTGGAGGGTGTCCCTGTCCATGGCAGGGGGGGTTGGAACTAGATGATCTTTGAGGTTCCTTCCAACCCAAACCATTCTATAATTCTATGATCTTTCCTGGCAATGCTCTGGTAATCTTCACAGTTTACCACAGTGAGGGCAGTAGCTGTATGCTTTTGAAGAAAGTCCTTTCAAGGCCCATCATGTTCTGACCTGGTCAAGTGTTTTCTAAAGCTTTCTCACAAACTTCCTTTCTCCCATCAAAGGATGAATCTCTCCTTCAAAATGAGTTTCCTACACAACTGAACACTCAGAGACTTTGAGACTGTAACCTGAATGACATAAGCATAAGTCTGGCTTTCACACTATGATAAGAATCTGCAAAGGAAGCAGGCAGACTATTGTTTTAGCACCAGAATCTGTATTATATGTAGAGCAACTCTAGCACATAAGAAGATATTGTATATATTCTAAAAGCATCTAGTACCCAAACACCATTTTATCTTGAAATCTCCTTCAAAGTTCAAAATTTTGTAAAGTTGCTGTATACCTTAATAGAATCTCACCTTCATGATAGTATCAAAAATATCAGTCCCTTCTTTACTTTTCATAAACACTTATCTCCTGAGCCAGACATAGCATCATTAAAGAAACAGATGGTGGTTAACATTTTCAGAAGCACTGAAATGATTTATGAATGTAAATTGCAGACTTGAAAGTACCTAAAGGCATAAAGCAGTCTAGGTTCCTTTGTTTTCCATGCATTTGAAAATTTTATCTTATGTTGTCCTCTCCTTCCAGGAAAACACTCTCTCCTTTGCAACCTAAGCATTTGTTGTGATCACAGAAGAAATATTCTTCCATACATGGGCACTGAGACACACTTCAGGGGAGGCAATCTGACTCAAGATTCATAACAACTCAGGAAAGGAATTTCAGACTTTCAGTAAGACAAGGCAGGAGAGTAACACTAATATAATCAGTTCTTTGTGGATGGAATTCCATTATCCATTTTTCTTTCAAATTACAGTCACTGAAGTCCTTGTCTGGCAATAGTTCACAGTCAATGGGCCAATCCAGAACTCTATCTTAGGGGTCCTTCAGCTGCAACTGAACTGAAGTAGACTCATTAAAAAATAAGCTCAAAATCTGCTTCTGTGAAAACAGTTCATCAGCTCCTTCCTCACAGGATTAATATATTTGGTGGTCGGAAGAGAGTGCCTGAACACCTCTTTCCAGGAATCCAGGAGTCCCTCTAACGCTTCCTAAGGATATTATCCAGTTTCCCTTTGAATACTTTTGTAAAATTGTTCAGTTAGTTTATAAATAATACTATTTATTCTTTATGCTCACAAGCCACATTTCATCCTACATGAACAAAAAGTAGACACCTCTTGTGTGAAACACATCAGTGCTTTAAAGAGAACAAAACATATGTAAAGATGGAATATATAAAGATGGAAGCAAATAGTCACCTGAAATCACAGTGGAGAAATCAGGCAGGGGAAATGTAACTACCCAAACTGGAATTAAGTAAAGAAATGAGATTAACATCCTCACTTCTACAAAGAACACCACTATCTATAAAAAGCAATCCACACAAACAATAAGTATGGATGACTGAAAAACTGCCATAAGAATTTACCAGTGCAGGCACAATGACAACTCGCCTTCTCTCTAAATATGATAGATGGTGATAAAAGAGCCTCAGCTGTACAGTATTTAACTATAGACAGGTTTTTGTCATCAGCTGGGAAAGTCAGCTGGAGAAGTAGAACTTCTCAAAGCTGTGGTACAAATGAATCCTAAATAGCAAATGACAGTGTACTGGGTACAGAAATCAGGTGCCCGTCCTTTTGTACTACTCTGGCATGAAGAAATTTCCAGATGGCAAGAAGCTTCCATCATGGCCTGGTAAAGTCTAGAACTAGAGTATAGTGTATGCTGTCTATTCCCAATGCCTGCACAATTGCATAACGGTTGTATCAGCTAGCATCAGCACAAATTAGTCCTGAAAAATAGATCTGCATTCTGGTACAGCAGAGCATTTGGGACTTCTCAGACTGAACATTTAGGAGGTCAGCTTTTCATCTCCTTTTTATTGCCCAGTCATATACGTAACTGAGAAGCTGAGAGGCAGAGACAGTGATAGCTTCTCAAGTGTAAAGAAACCATCAGTACCTGGCAAACAGCTGAGTACTTATTGTCTTTCTGTTGCTGGACTCCCTATGTTTGGTGGTCTCACATCTCATTTTCTTTAGTAGCAGGCGAGATTATTCCATACATTGTGGAATTGAGGCACAGTTGATAAGAATGTTATATTATTGATATACGTACATATACATATATCAATATATGTGTATATATATTATTGATAAGAATTTGTTATATATTGATATAAAATTAGGAAAATTATGTTAAAAACACCCTTTGATAGGAGACAGCACATTGTGAGCTTACTGTTTGCTCTTGAATAGCATCTGCATGAGAAATGCAGAGATACAGGCTACTTGGCAGAAGTTGGGGGGAAAAAAGTAATAGACTCACTCAAAACAGTAACAGCAACATATCCACATTTAAGAAACATTAAATTCTTGGCTAAGATTGTATCCTTCCAAATATCTGGAAACGCTTCTTCTAAAATGGAAGTATCCTAGAAGTCCAGGATGGACTGTCCTCAACTGAACAATGCTCCCATACAGTTATCATTAAAAACCTTGCACCTGTGTTTGATTGAAACCGCTTCCTGGAAACTTATCATCATTCTGCAAATACGTAGCTATTAATCCTGTGTGTATGCATACACATGTCCTGTTGACTGCAGCTGGAGGCTTTTACTGCAAGCATAACTTAGGTGGTAGAGTTGATTTTTCCTAATTATGCTACTAAAGTGGAGAAGCTGCAGAGGGTCATGACAAGATCAGAAGGAGTATTACCATTTTCACACTACTGAGTGCAGAAAATGAGGTCTGCAGAATGTATTTTGTAGTTTTGTTTACAGTCAACACAAAAGGGTTCAGTTATAGGTTACCTCTCTAGGACAGACAAGTACAACTCCTGATACACAGTTCAGCTCTCTGGTCACCGAGTGGACTACTTCTCCCTGAGTGTTTACTATTAGCCATATGAATCTCCACAGAAATGTGGATATCTTCTAAATTTACAGTTCTGAACAAAGACTATCGGACAGTGTAGGTCTGAATTATAATATTCCAGCTACAGTAGTCAAGGTGATTGCAACCTGATGTCAACTTAGGCACGTATGGGACAATTGTTACGTCAGCTGAAAGCACAACACTGGTGGGAATCCACAGATTGTCATTTATAGAAATAATTCCACTTTCTGAGTCAAACTGCCTGACCTTTCTCAGCTCGCATCTCAACACTCACATCTCACCACTGTCAACAGTGAGAAAGTTGGTACATTTCTGAACATTAATGCGTCATCTCTCAGAGACCTCAGAGAGAAGGATCTTAGATGTTTTCTCATGATTTGCTACACACTCTCTCTGGCGCTGTGAGCACATCATTTTGGCTCATTATGCTTCAGCTTTCCAATCTGCAAAGTGGGATACTACCATGCCTCACTGAGTACTGTCAAAGAAACCACTCAGCATCGTGATGAAAAGAGGGTATTTCAGCATATTTGAGGTCTGATGGACCTTGTGTACTGGGGAAGAGCTCTTCTTTTGCCAAGAATCCTTAATTGCTATCATGACTATAGCATTTCAACATCCAGCTGAAGGCTTTTCTCTCAGATAATCTCCTAGAAATAACACCAGGATTTTTAATTCTGTAGTTTGCTGATCACAATTACAACCAGCAATTTCAGTAGGGACCAAGGAATAAAAAGTCTATTTATCTCTATAAATAGACCTTTGTGCCTATGTCTTCTGGTTCTTCAGAACTAGATGAAGACATATTGGTAAAGCCACAGGAGATATGCATGCTTTACTTGTTTAGAGATTTTTTTTTCCCCAGGGATATTAGTCTGACACATTTTGCAAGCATCTCATTCATTACACAGGCATCACAGTTCAAAGATAATGTTAGAGGCATACTGTCTATTAACAAAATGGTTCAGCATCACCAAACACATAGTGGAGATCTTTCAGTCACTTAATGGGAGGGGTAGACACAATTCACTAAATTCTGCTGACTTTACAATTCACACACCCACACCCTGACACATTGTCCCAAATGTCTTTCAAAAATAACTGAAAGTTACAGGAAAAGTTTAATCCATCGTAGAAGGGCAGCTGTCACTGGAAAGCAGCAAGCTGAAGAAAAAACCAAAGTCTGTCTTGTTCAGTGCACAAAACTGGGGAGCTGCATCTTAATGGAAAGTAAGCAAGCTAGGACACCAGGGCTAGTCTTCTATTCCTTGAATGAATTGCTAATGGATTTCTAATGACTACAGAATGTTATGATAGCCTTTTTAAAATACGAGCACTTTAAGTATTCTATAATGAAGT